GGGTCGCGTTTCCGATCCGGTTGTAGATTCTGCAAAGCACTGCTCTTGCTAGGGTAAGTGTTAGCAACACTCCGGTTTGAGTCCCGTGAGTTTACCTACACACGTTAGGGCGAAGCTGAAATAGCCTCTCAAGGCTATCAGCATAGGTAGGAAAAAAAAAGAAACCGAGTAGTTTTTATCAGAGTTAACGAACTAATTAATCGCAAAAAAAATGGAAGTGACATGCCTAGCTTATTCATGTACAGAAAGCAGATGTAGTAAAGCTAATGCGTGCGGTGTGCCCACTGACTTTCTCGCCGGATCTTCTCAGTGGGTCGCGTTTCCGATCCGGTGGTAGATTCTGCGAAGCACTGCTCTTGCTAGGTCCAGTGTTAGCAACACTCCCGGTTTGCGCCCCGTGAGCTCACGTACACGCCAAGGAGTAGCTGAAATAGCCTCTCGAGGCTATCAGCATAAGTAGGGAAAAAAAAGAAAAAAAAAGCGTGCGGTGCTCTTAGTGGCTTTGCCACAGACGGGTCGCCAAGGGAATGCCTTATGATTGCTTCTAGCTTAAAATAAAGTAGTATCACGCAAATTTACTGGACTAATGTAAGGAGAACACAACAACGTTTGATTGAATGAACGTGAACAGGCCCAAACGCCAAACAAAATGTATAATGAGAGACTTTAAGTAGCATCGAGGCACCAAGGTACATTTCATTAATCTAAATGACAGATCACCGCTATTCATCTTATTTATAGGATTGCTGGAAATGTAAAAGAAGTTCAATTACATATTTTTATCTTAGGGTTTGTTAACGGAAAATAATGCATTATACATACAGTAATCCCCCTTATAACACGGTACTCTTATAACGCATTTTCATATTACGTGTTTTCAGTCCCTCGTATAACACGGGTATTCCCGCATATAACGCGGGGATTTCACACGTTATATCTGTGTACTGTGAAATTTATAATGATTTATATAGTTCATAATTAGTTTTGCGGAACTTTGCACATTGTGTCAATTTTATTGTTATAAAAGTAAATGAAATTAGTTTATTAAAATTGTGCTCCTACTTTTTGAACTGTAAAAGCGTTGGTTATATTATATTACATTTTTATGTATATTATATTTTTACATAACGCGTTATATGGGGTCATACAAGCGCGTTATGCGAGAACACTCCTACAACGCGCTACTAATCAACCGTGTTATAGAGGGGATTACTGTACTTCATCTGGTTATCATTTAAAAAGTTTAAGCGACTAGACCAGGATTCAAATCCTGAAAGCATCTATATAAATACGTACCAGATTAATGTTTATAAATGACTTACGCTGAAAGAATGATCTTGATGATAAGCAACATCAAACCCACAAAAATTTAGGTTTGTGTAATCAATGGTGGTGTAAAACATTATGTAGGTACAGCGTCACTTTTCCCCCCTAAATCTCGATTGAATTGTTTTACCATCCCAGGTTTGGTCGAAGGTTGTTGAGCGATAATTAATTTTACCGATTCAAATCCGTTTTGATCTATATATTGCCCCCAACATGTAGGCAGAAGTTCCCTGATTTTCTTTTGACCCAAAATGGACCCAGACTACCGAGACAGGTATCGCTATTCTGACTAGCTTTCCCGCGATGCAGCTGCTGTGTGGTTTGGAGGATTGGGCTACTGTTAAACAATACAATGGAGACTTCGACTCCTATGATGATGTAAAACACTGTCACTATCCCAAAATTACAGAGGTCCCTTGTTTGCAAATAAGAGGGGAAAATGCTAAAAGGAGTAATTCCAAAGTAAAAAAAAAACTTCAGCTTATTAACCGAAATGTTCTTTGTTTGTTTGTTCTTGGAAACCAAACAGGATGTCGTTGGTTTTTAACTTTGTACCAAACTAAGGAGATATCAAGGTACTGAATTTTGATGGTGATATAAGAATCGTCGAACTAAAAAGTTTTTTGTTATAAGAAAAAGATAAGATTTGTTTACACAAAAAAAAGAAAATATAAATTTTGGATTAGTAAAAATAAATATGATTTTTATTTTAATTTTGGATGAAGTTAATTATTTTGAATATTTGATAGCATATTAGTGTAAATAAAAATTGTTGTAGCCGTAATTAAATTAATAGAATCATAATTAAAAGGATTACCTGCTCTGATTCTCATTATAATTTGTTCTTATACTCAGAAGTAGCTTCGCCAGATAAGTTTCAAGAGAAATGGGATTTTTCTATGAAGTCATGTTAAAACTTAATTTCAAGCAGTTGCAGTTTCGGCTGTGTGGTGTCTGTCTAGAATAGCACCACCTATTTCTTCCTGTGGGTGTTGGGTTTAGCGTAAAATTGACAACAGCGTTCTTTGAGTGTTATACACGCGTACTGCCATCGCCAATTGACATAAATAGTAAATCTACTCGGAGAAGTATAATCATCCTTTCTGTCGCGACGTAGTTAGAAAGATGGGACCCAGTATTGATCAAAATACAGAAACAATAATAGATTAAGATAGAAAAAAATGATATATTATATATTCCAGAATATCTAAATTGCTATATCTCAATCACTACTATAGTTCAATTATTTCCTACTGTTCGAGCAATAATCAAAATTGGACCTTAATCACAGACACCTCAAGCCTCAGATTCATTTTATGTTTTACATTTGTTTTTTGACGTTCGATAAAACATACGCGTTTCCAAAAACGTTTTAATGAAATAATAAATATTTATAGCAATAATGCGAAAAAAAAGGAGAAAACGCTACTAGTTAAGCCGTTTTGATATAAATAATGTATAGGTCGCAATTTCAAATAGATAATTAATTTTAATATGTATTTAGTTGAAATCGTGGTAAAGTCTTTATATCGAAGTCAGAAAGTACGATGAATATCCTTTATACCAAATCTATTATCAATCAGTGACAACCTAAGTATTACGATATTGCGCAATATAGCCTTAAAATAGAGAAAGGTTGGCTGATATATTAAAAAAAACTTGTAAAACAGTTTTTAAAATAACACAATTTGTACATTATCATATATAACATTAGCTATTTCCAAACCATGCAACCTTAATACAAACTTCCGAATCAACAAATTGAGCCGTGCGTGAAACTAAGTATTACGAATTCGATGAAAATATAAAAATAAGATTCAAAATAGCTTTGCCAAGAAAACTCTACTGCAGTTCCACAAATTTGTTTAATTTTTTTTTTCATAGACCTCGTCATGGACTTCTCGTCCTAGATGCCTAGTCTTCTCGTCGTAGACGCTGTATATAAGCAATCTTAATAATGTCATTAATGCATCTAGAAATTTACTGACTGATAGTGTATGGATCAGACAGTGACAGCACTTTATCCCCAGAAAATGCAAATTATTTCATTTAAAAGAAAAGGCGTATTTCTTTAACGACTTTGAAACCATTGTGCACGTCTAGCAGATAATAAAATGAGGCAACACGTACACCGAGTCTGACTTTAAAAAATAAAGAAGTTAAAAGTGAAATAAAAAATAATTTATTAAGTCCTTTATTAATCGTAAAAGGAAAATCTCAGGGTCTAAAATATGATGTATAACGTTGGAAGCCATCTGTCTTGTTTACACTACGCTTCTGGTGAGGACAAATTGTTTCATTTCCCTTCTATATTACGTTGAACGTAATGGCTCTATTGTTTAATGGACAGTGACATGAGGCCCATTTACTTGGTCTACGAAGTTTTTGCTGTGTTATTGTGTAAGAAATGTATGTCTACAATTGGTTCTTAGAGTCAATTTTCGTGTTGTTGTTTTTATTCTTGTATTGGCACTAAGTATTTCATAGAAACAACAAACGGTCTGAATTAATTATTATCATAACATGGATGTTGTAACATCATTAGCTTGATATGTAAGATCTCACAGTCAAAAGTGGTAAAAGTGGAAATGCCTGAAAAATTCCTAATAAGACCTATGGTTGAAGTCTCAATTGTAACCTAAAACCGCTATTCAGTCGTAAGCTGGAACACATGATTACTTTACAGTAGTAAAAGGCAAATGTCAGTAACTACCCGTACGACCTCCTCGATGTTTAATTTTATACATTGATATTCTTTCATTGCGAAATTTTTCGTGTGAAAATGTATTGGATTTTTTAATTCCTAAGATGACGAGCGAGGATACTGAATGGTTACCTACCTATTCGGTAAAGTATGAGAACTCTTCAAATTTCGCTTGAAGAATGATGTGTCGTACCACTCAGGGAATAGTCTGAATGGCGGTATAATCTAGAACCCAAGTTAGTAGGTGCTAAAAATTATCGCTCGAAACGTACTATTCATGAAAATCAGTAGTTCCAAGGACTTGGAATGCACGGAAGGAATGTGAATATTTATTTTGATAATCTGAGCCTATCAGAAGATTTAAACTTTACCAGATCGCATCGCTTGACTTAAACACGCCGGGAATCTTCCATATGAGGCGACTGAACGGTTGACGGACCACTTGAACGGTCGATTAGTTCTTTTGTCGTCTATTTTATATATGAACAGTCAATTCGTTCCTTGTCGTCCCGTTTTTGTCCGTCTTTTAGGAAGTCAAAAAATATACTGCCTGCCGCTAGTCACGTATGCCCTCGTTCCATTTCTCTCTTTACTTTTGAATTCTTGTCAAGTGTCTGTCTTAGGCTGTGTCTATGTCTAGTCGTTGTAGGTCTTATGTCCTGTCAAAGAAGTTGCAGGCCACGACAGGCGACTGACACATAAATGCAGTACTGTCGTATAAAAGTGTATGCAAATAATATATTTGCCATTTAAAACCATATACTTAGAAAGCTACACATTTAACAAATAGCATGTTGAATAGTTGATGGCCTCAGAAATTGCATATAAACATACCGTACAATGAGACAAGAAAGCAAAACACTATAATCGGAGCTGAATGTCAACCAAAAAAAACTTCAATTCCCATCTCTCTCACCGTCTGCGTCGAGGTTATCAGAGGTTATTAGATATTCTTTTGTTCCAGGAGCAATGATCCCCGCTCGTGAGCCGGAGTGATGACCCTTCACCCTTCGAGCTGAGGTGCGATGGCGCGCACTGCGGGTGCCGTCTGCTTGTTCACGGTTCATTTGTTTTCCTGCATTATTGGTGAGCCATGCTTTCACAACCGATGAATTTATGAGCTATTTTAGCTGACCTACTTTGAGTGTACCGTGTTTGTTAGACCTATTGTGGGACAGAACAGAGCTTCGCTATATTTTGGGAATACCATAGTTATCAATTGTGATTTTAGATTAACTATTATTTCAACTAGTATTTACGTTAATTTGTATTTACTTGTGGCTATATTTACATATTCCTAAAAGCAATTTGTCAGTGGTTTTTTGGCTACTTCTATAAAAACGGAAACCCGTTTTTTGTTATGTTCTTTAAAAACATCCCGTTTTATTTTAATAGACAGTGTTATTTGAAAAAAGCAAAAAGAGGACAAAAGTGTGTAATCTAACTTTAGCTTTTAAGTGTGGATAGGATAGAATCTCGAGTAATTATGTCACAAGTAATTATGTTATTATTATGAAAAACGTATACTCGTAATGTAAGCTGAATAGTTTTGTAACAAATAGGTTTATAAATAAATGATGAATAGGTTCCTTACACTATTACAAATTGAGTATAATATTTTCAGGGTTACATAATATATTATGTCGGTTACTACTTATTTTATCATAGTTTTTAAATACCTGAATATGTTTGGTGTGTATTTATTTTCGATAGGATCCTCCACCATCCCGAATGTCATTGCCTATAATATTATTTAGTAAAGCAGTTAAGGTTTTTTTTTTCAATATTATAGTTTCTAACAAGTAAAACAAAATTTTAAAAATTAATATTTTTTGTGTTAGAAAAAGTCATACTTTGCGTTTGTCTTCATACTTTGTGTTGTTTCATCGACAATTTGAGATGTTTAATATACTTTTAAGTATAAATGATAAGCTATAATTATTTTGAACCCGCATCATTAGTTACTGATATCCAGCTGATTGCTGTAACAAACAGTTCTACATTCGAGTTGTTAGCTAGGAGAGAGAGCTTTTTTATTTAAATGCCTTTGGACTGCAACCTTAAGTTTCTAGATGGGTGGCAGCTTTTACGTTAAGTAATCTGTGGGCTCCGATTACCACGTCAACGTCAGGTGGTTGAAATTGGCTCCCAGCGATAGCTTTAAAAAGCTGTTGTTTCTACGGCTTGAACAAATAATAAATGGAAAAATACGTGTTTGATGCACATGACATAGTAGATACAATTTTATTAACACAGTAAGTAGAAGAGGATAATTTTTGGCTAATGGTCAATAGTTACCGTCGTTCAAGGATATTGGAAAAACCAGACCACTAGCTACCGCTGAGGAGTCTACAAAAATCGTTATGTCAGTCTTTTGACACCCCGAGGATAGGAATTTGTTTTAGAATTGGTACATGATAAAAACGATTTTCCGAAATGCGCTACAGATAAACGCAGTCCTTTCAAGTGTTAAATAGGAGCTCCGGCCTAGAGATGGAAGCAGCAATTCCAAAAAAAATGTGATAATTCTAATTCTACATTTATGAGTGAACCAAAAAATCTAAAAACGAAATCAAATAAAAAAAATACTGTTCGAATTATTGTAAGTAACTAAGGTGAGCCAATGTTGTAACAACAATCTGAATTACGTTGGGTCTGAGTTTAGTGTTGGACCACGCATTCAAGGTATTAGTTTCGGGTACTAATATGCGGAAACATTTCGCTACTAAATGTTTAACGAGAGCAATAAAAGAGGACTGACACAGTAGTTGAGTACTAAGTCAAACATTTATTAGATGTGACCAAACTTTGTCAAAAATGGTTATTTTTGGCTTTTTGGATGAAATTTGAATTTCTTTGGATGGCCTATCTGCCTTCCCTAAACGTCTCCGATTTTTTGTGTAATTCGTCCTTTACAGTGGTAATACCAGATGGTGATGTATTTCCGTGTTGGTGAGAAACCATTGGACATTGCATACGTTTCTCCGTATCATATTTTTTATTTGCTGTATTTTTAAGATATATAATAATAATAAATTGGTATAGGGAACATGCAAACAGGTTTCAAGATAGTTTATCAGAAGCATGTTTTCAACTGTTTCGACCCAGTATGCAACATAAATAAGGATAACGGATTTTCATTTCGTGCAATTTATTTTTGCTATGTCTTCAAGTCAAACGTAGGCCCAAGATATCGTATGCTGTCTTAAATAACGATTTAATTAAGTTTGATTCTTTATAAAGTCTAAAAAGAAGAATGACATCAATTATCAATACATAATCAATGAGATTTTATATACTTTGAGAAAATTCATTTCTTCGGTAGTATTTCATGGCATTAAGCTTAAAGTAATCTGATGTTTAAAGAATATTAAATTGAATCAAACCATTATCGGATATGTAGGGACGGAAGCCGAATTTAATTAAAGTGGCTATCGAAATTTTAGTAAGAATATATTCAAATTAATGAAACGGAATCAAAATTTCGACATTCTTGTCGATAATGAAATTGGGTATTCCGAGTCGCTCGGAACAAAGACATTACAAGTACTAAGTAGCTACGGTAGAAGAATCTAATTTGCTTTGTCTGTTTTGTTACTGTAGTTCCGGAATACTTTAGGGAGCTAAATTTGAAACACCCGAAATTTTCAAACCTAATTTGATCCTTTTAGTTTGGAAGACAATGCCATTCTGGAATAATGTATCAAATGATCGTTGTTAAAAAACAAAATATTATTCTTATATCGATCGTTGTTTTAGGAGCTTGTAAAACGTAAAGGTTACATTAATTTGCTTTCATAAGACTTGTAAAATTAAAATATAAGAGAATCATTCAGAAATACCTTTTTATTTTTCGTAATACCATCAAATTTTAACGATGGGCACTACAATACGACTATTCGTATTATGTATTAAATTTCTTCATTAAATTAATCAAATTATCGCTTGCTTATTGTGTAACGCCCGCTGTCTAAATATTCACTAACTTTTGATTTACGATTACGTTTCTGTGAACAAAAGCAGCGAAATATTGAAGTTAATTTCGCGGAGTTCTTTGCTGATTTCAGAGAACGTGTTTTGTTCTGTTGGTACGCAACGCGCCAAAAACCTGGCTGGTTACGACCGAAGTTTGAGCAGTAGAATTATTGTGTGTAGTGTTGTTCAAGCCAAGACGTTGAAATGTGGAAGGGAATGAAGACACAATTTCTCTTTGGTCGTTAACGCTGAGATACGTTAAGATAAAAGATACGAAATGAAATTCATCACAATTAAAAGTCAGTTTTATGGTTTCGTCTTGGGAATAAAATTCATTACTGAATTGGAAGTTTCGAGACTTGCGTTTTTGTGGTAACGATGGGCTGCAGGTAAATTTAACGTCAATGTTATTAAAGATGATACATGAATGTTTAAAAGTATGTATTAACTCTTTGATGAACTAGATTGTGATTGTAATTTTTAAATTTAAACGTCTTTAAAATATAGCTAAACTGAGATTGGCTTAAGTCATAGTAAAATGTTGTTCCGTAAAGGAAATGAAAACAAATGTAGGATCAGTACTGTGTGTTCGTTTCGGTTAACTTATGATTTGATTAAAGTAGTTTGATTAAACTACTTGTTTGAAAAAAATATTTTACTTAAAATTGGCGGCTATACGAAATCATGAACCCTGTATTCCTCTCATAAAGTTTATATTTGAATAAATCTAATTGCTGCTAATCCTCTCTTAATCCTAATCCTTCCCCTCTGCTAATCCCAGCCGTTTTCATATTATATTGGGAAAAAAGTATTTTAAAAATTTATTTGTTCGCAGTTTGTCGTCAAGACAGTGGTAATAATCGGCCTCGAGATCAGAGCACGGTTTCTGAATCGTCAAGAAGATTTCGGACAGAGTTCTTAGAGGATTGGCCTCAAGCCCCTGGCGCACCATACTTCGATCCCAGTACTCCGGACAACGTCACGGGACTTGTGGGACATCCTGTGACTCTTTTGTGTAAAGTAAAGAATCTTCAGAATAGAACGGTTAGTAGTATTCTATTTTTGAATTTACAGCATACCGCAAAACAGAAAAAATAAAAATACTAATCACAATATCCTCCAATAATTATATTGGATTATTTTTACACTAAAAATCAATATTACGCAAGAATCTAAACAAAAAGATAGCTAAATGATTCCCTACAGAAACGACTAAGTTAGAATATTTTCGATTTTTGTGATTGATATAATAATATGTAGTTAGATAACACATAAAGCGATTGTGATTCATGATGTTGTCGTCATTAAAATATCGTTAGTAATATTTAGATTGGGTGTGCGGGAGAGATAGATGTTTCTTTTCTTTTGTTTTTGGAGATTTTATTAGTATTTGAGGCTTTTACATCTTCACCAAGATAGAAAGGCAAGCTCAAGACCTTTTTTTTTTTTTTTTTTTTTTTTTTTTTTTTTTTTTTTTTTTTTTTTTTTTTTTTTTTTGTTTNGAACCCGCTCGGGCTGTATAGTGCTACAGCAGGCAGAATCGCGAGCGGGGGTCTAGTCTTGAAAAAGACTGTTGTTTTGGGAAGGGTTAGGAAATCGCTAGCCTGTGAGTGCCACAGGAAGCCTGATCGTAGCGATTGGTTTTGTCTTGAAAAAGACAGTTGGTAAAAGGTGGGTTCGCGGTTACAAAACTTTAGCGCACAAAAATTGACTCCGAGACGCAAATCGCAAGCGACCAACGGATCGGCACGTCCGCACTACCGAATTGTACGCACGATGTATTCACGGTCACTACACTGTCGAGCACAACTGTGAGTTCAGAGACGCAGCTCGCAAGCGGGCCACGGATCGGAAAGCACGTCCGCGCACGACCGAGTCGTGAGCGAGAATGCAATATTATGCGTAAAGCTAAATTAGAAATATACCTAAGTGATTCCCTACAGAAATGACTAAGTTAGACTAAATGACTAAGTTGAAGTCGTCGTGGCCTAAAGGATAAGACGTCCGGTGCATTCGTATGTAGCGATGCACCGGTGTTCAAATCCCGCAGGCGGGTACCTATTTTTCTAATGAAATACGTACTTAACAAATGTTCACGATTTACTTCCACGGTGAAGGAATAACATCGGGTAATAAAAATCAAACCCACAAAATTATAATTTGCGTAATTACTGGTGGTAGGACCTCTTGTGAGTCCGCACGGGTAGGTACCACTGCCTTGTCTATTTCTGCCGTGAAGCAGTAATGCGTTTCGGTTTGAAGGATGGGGCAGCCGTTATAACTATACTGAGACCTTAGAACTTATATCTCAAGGTGGGTGGCGCATTTACGTTGTAGATGTCTATGGGCTCCAGTAACCACTTAACATCAGGTGGGCTGTGAGCTCGTCCAACCATCTAAGCAATAAAAAAAAATCTATTTTCGATTCTTGTGATAGATATATGTAGTTAGATAACACATAAAGCGATTGTGATTCATGATGTTGTCGTCATTAAAATATCATTAATAATATTAAGATTGCGTGTGCGAGAGAAATAGCTGATGTTCTTTTGTTTTTGGACATTTTATTAGTATTCGAGGTTTTTACATCTTCACCAAGACAGGAGGCTTTTTCAAGGCCTGGCCAGAAGGCAGCAGGAGAAGGCACTTGCTTATGTGTATTCTCCATGTGTAATAAAAAAACCATGGAGTTGGCTTAAAATTACTTTGGAATTTTTTACACGATTTCATAGCTACTTTTTTGAATATTATTCAAATGCTTCATTACTGTCAAATTAGGAAATAAACACATCGTATCAAATATTAGGGAGAGAAGAGTAAATTCGATAGCTTGCACGATTCGGAAATTGGTCCAATTTGCACTCCGAGTTCCAATATTGTCTCACTTCATTTTGCCTGTTTTGATAAAGATGTTCAATTTTGTAACAGGTGTCGTAAGTAAGCAATACTCGTACAATCTCGTACGAGTATTGTAATATCCAATCCAGTATCAAAGAGGTAGTTTACTATGTAGTTTCATACTAGTTCTATTCATGAGCGAAAATTCGAGAACTTTCTATTTCGCTTCTGTGTTTGTCTGATGAATAATATCTGCCATATAGGCGTGATCGCAATAGTGATATTTTCAATAAAGGATTATATTAGATTGAAGTTGTTCGCGATCATACGTTTGTGGATGATACAATATAAACGGCCGTCTGGTGTAGAACGGCCGTCTGGTGTAGTGGTAAGTGACATGGTCACTACATAAGGGGGTCGCGGGTTCAAATCCCGCCAAGGGAAGATATTTGTATGATTAATATAAATGTCTTTTCCAGGGTTATGGATGTATATTAATTATATGTATGTGTATAATAAAAATACACATTTATTTCCGTTATCTGGTACCTGTAACACAAGTTCCTTACGAACTTATCACGGGACCAGTTAACGTGGCGTGATTGTTAGTAAATATTTATTTATTTAATAGTCATAAAAATGTGCAGGGCTAACTTTTCATATTGCATATATTTCTTTATTGCACGCAACAAGTGAACAAAACTTATGTTTTTATACAAAAATACGATAGATAACTTATTGTTCGGAATTACAAACAAGAAACATTTAGGACTGTTTATCAAGGAATGCTTTTGAAATAAGCCTCCGAGCATCTTAATTTGTTTTTTTTTTGGAAGAAGGGTTCTGTATCCCTTTATCGCCATATTATTATGCTGCGACCCTTCTCAAGTTAGTTGGACGTCCCAATCCAGCAGATTAGTTATCGAGGATACCATTATGATTAGCCAAAGATGCGAAATTATTCGAAGCAAAGGAACGATATATATCTAACGAGGATATTTGGTAAAAAAAAACCTGTTTATTTCCCTGTTATGTATTATACGACTTTAACTGCGTGATGATCATGCTGAGATTCATTTGAGATACAAGGTAGGTCCTACTCCTTTGAGGAGTATCTAAATATTATTTTTAAAACTTAAACAATTTTTTTTATTCATGTAATAATACTAAATGTGTATTGCAAATTCACCTGCGATTAAGAGTTTTGAATTAAAAAGAAACGGATCACGTTGCATTTTCATTTTTTAATTCCAATTTCCCGGGAGGTGTTACTTGTGTCACCCTCTGTTCATAAACTACCAGTCCTTTAGCAACGGTTACCATGGCAACAGCTGCTATGCTCTTAGATTGCAAACATAACGTTGGCGATCGTAGATGAAAATTTCATTCTGGTGGTGATTTACGTAAAATCCGTTTTGAGTGAGCGCTTATATCGTAAAAGAAGCATCGTGCCAAGTTTATAGTCTCCATATCAGAGCGATAGTTTCGGAAATATCGTAACGAATGCTATATGTATATATAATATTTCAAGATAGTTATATGACCTATATATAAAGTTGCTGTATTACAATACTGGCCATTTGAAACCTAATTTATATGTGGCTGGCAATAAATTCTAATTTAACTAAATTTTATTTCAAAAAAATATAAAATTATATTTTCAAATTCAGAACTTTGTTTATTGATTAGTCTTTCCACTACATTTGTATCTTTTTCCTCAATTTCAACACGATAAAAATTCGAGTAATTGTGGAATAGGAGTTCCGTCCCGGTACTAATGCCGGACAAACGGTTCACAGCATTAATTGCGTGTATGGAGTGAACATTACAAACGAACGCACGACTAGCTATTGGTTTAAAAGTTTCCGACAGGCAAATTTTGATCTAAAAATATAACCCTGAAGCTGCCGAATATAACGAAAAAAAAAAGTCGATTGTGGAAGCTGACGATACTCAATGTACCGCTGTTAATAGTGGTATAAAAGAAGTATTTGTCCATTCCGTTTAATTTGCAAAATAAAAAAATGAAAACTGACAAGTGAGTGTCACATAAACTAAACGATCGCCAGTGGGACGCCAGTGGGAACTAAACGAGCGCATTAAGTTATATTTTGCGTTTCCTCCCGGTGATGGTCACGGGACGAGTAAAATCGTAAGAGCGAGCGGTTGGCGGTGTATCGCATCGCGAGCCGACAGGCTGGTTCTGACTAAGCGAGGTATCCCGGGACCAGCAGCTCCTCCTGGCTGACGTTCCATGCGTTCGTTTCTCATCGACGGCCACGCGTAATATGCGGCGAGCATCTCTGCCTCCACCTCTCAGGGTGGCGCCTCGGCAAGATCGCACGCCACCGCAGAGGAGACGGTGAGATATCCAAGGATAATTTTGACCGTGATCGCGTGCTGCGGATGTCACTGCGAGGCCACATTTACGCAGGTCATAGTGTGTGTGCAGTGCCATAAATCGCACCAACTTCATGTAGAGACGGCGCGCCACAAGGTCGGGACCTCCAACGTTTGGAAGAAGCGGGTTCAATGAGCACGGCCCAAACAAAACAAAAAATTCCTTGCGTTGCTTTTGGATAATTGTAACCGGTTATCATGTTGGTTAGATCCTGATTCAGCACTTAGGCAACGCTCCAAACGAAAGCTTACCCTTAAAAAGTAATGGTCACTGTTTGTTAGTCTAGTGCCGGTTTAATTCATCAGTGCTTTTTACCAAATGGCACCTGCCTTACTGCAGGTATGTAACGTGAGAGACTGGAGACAACGAAGGAAAAGCTCGCAAATCTGCGGCTAGGCTTGGTTAATTGCTAGTCTCTCCTACTCTTAGACGACCTCATAAAGTACAACAGACGGTCTTTGAGATACATATAAGAGCTAGAGTTGGAAGGTTTACGTCATCCAACATACTCACCAGACTTTGCGCCGACAGACTTCTACTTTTTCGAAAGCATCGATAACTTCGTGGCACAGAAAAACTTCAATAGCCCAGAGGCTGTTCAAAATGCCTTTAAATAGTATTTTGGCTTCCGTACATTTGACTTCTTCAACTGAAAACATGGGTGCACATTTTTAGTATATATAAGGTGGGCACAAATAAGTATGGATGGCTGGTGGACTCGTGAACATGGGTTATCGTGATATACACACACACATATTTATATATTATTATAGTTGTTTTCTGGAGCTTACGTTGTTCGCTAGTTTTGCATAACCATTGCCATTTTAATAAATACATAGATTTATTGTTTGACGTTTGGACCTGGTTTGGAGTTGAAGTCACTGACACTTAAATTTATAGTTATTCTATTTTGAAATATGATGGTTGAGTTATTGGAGCCCATCGACATCTACAACGTAAATGCGCCTGGATATATAAGTTCTAAGATCTCAAGTATAGTTACAACGGCTGCCCCACCCTTCAAACCGAAACGCATTACTGTTTCACGGCAGAAATAGGCAGGGTGGTGGTACCTACTCGTACGGATTCACAAGAGGTCCTATTACCAGTAATTACGCAAATTATAATTTTGCGGGTTTGATTTTTATTACACGATGTTATTCCTTCACCGTGGAAGTCAATCGTGAATATTTTTTAAATACATTTTTGGGACACCGGATGTCTTATCCTTTAGGCCACGACGACTTCTATTTATCGCCTCTTTATCGTTGACCTTGAGTCTAGTATTGAAAAGCTTTTGTTTGTGATTAATTTATTAGGTATCATGGGTGAGGCATCGAGATATCCATTTGCTGACTGTGGGACGATATACTTACACGTCGGATCAGCGCTTCGAGGCGCAGCACAAGCCGCGCTCCGAGGAGTGGGCGCTTCGAATCCGCAGTCCACAGCGACGCGACTCCGGCCAGTACGAGTGTCAGATCTCGACCACACCACCAATCGGACATGCTGTCTTCCTCAATATTGTGGGTGAGTTTTGATTTTTCTCGTGTCGCAATATATTTTTTTTTTAATGTTTGCATCTTTGTGAATTGCGTCAGTAGTTTTACTGTTAAACTATGTATGTATAACCCTAAGTCTGTGACTTTTATTCTAAGCATGCCGCTATCACAAATCGTGATATAAAAGTGGTAATGCGTAAAGTAAATCTGCACGGGAAGGTTCATCCTGTTCATCTTAACCGGTAGTAATAATGCGATCCAATTTGTTATTCTATCAAATCGCAGCTTCAACTTTGGAAGTACATCAGATGGTTGCAACACCTAAATCTAAAATCTTGTTTTTTGTGTTATTTTTTGTGTCTTGTCAAGTTGTTCGATTGGTAATCGCGATACTGTTAAGATATTATGTACATGCTGTTAAAATTGATATCGTATATCTAACGTATCATGTTTGGGATAAATTTAAATGTTTGAAATCATTAATATAGCTAAACCAACATATGTAGATACTTATTCTTCTTGTAAAAGGAAACTAGTTACAGTGTACTGAAAATAAATGCACCGGAATTGAATTTCGTTATGCAATAAACTGTATTTATTTTGTATTAAGCTGTACACAAATTTCCATGTGATTTGTGACGACCACAATCTTTAATTGCAAAACGCAGATATTGAAATGATATATTCCAAATAATAATAAAAAGGTAGGCAATATTACCAGAAATCCGTAAAGCTAAGCTTCTATTCAGAATACATGTTATTCAATACTCAATACAAAAGTAAAATAGCTATTTGGGCATAGTCCAAAGCACCTGAATGGCGTACGATCCAAATAAGTTATTTCGGTATTCCGTGGCGAAAGAAAGAAGGAAAAATCTCGCTGCGATATTTCAATGGAAAGTTCTGGAAGTGGGAAACCGAAGTTAAATAAACAACTTCGCTCTTCTATGTGAATTGGTTCTTCACGTTTGACACGGCGAAGTTTAAAACTACAATGATGTCTAGGACACAAGAGCTCCAGACTAATGAGAAACTTATCTCGTAAAAAATATATTGTAATTAGGTTTCACTGGATTGGTACACCGCGCGTAATTCGTTTCCAAATGATTCTTGTCCACCTGATGGTTGTCGGGAAGAGATCGCTCTTAGCGATAAGACCGCCAATTGTACTTTTTTTGTATTTAATGTATCGCACTATTTTTTGGTGTACAATAAAGAATACTCTTTCACTCACTCTCTCTCTCTCCCTCTCTCTCTATACATAATATATTATACATGTGTTCGCTATAGCGAAACGTAACTGAAAACCGTTGTCAGTTCAGTAACATAACGTTATTGGCATCGCTAACAGGCACCTATCAGGTATTGAGATTATTTCAGATAACCGAATGAACAATAACCAAAATAATTATGCCTTCGCTATCTTTCTAAGTGATTCTTGAACGTACATAACAGAGACGGAGCGAATATCTTCGTTTTAGGAATATTTATATAAACCGAAGACGACCTTATGTCTATTAAGCTAAAGCTACTTCTGATGTTGACAAACAAAAATATTAGACACATACTTTGTTTTGCTCGAGCCGTGTAAAACTTTTTTTTTTAAATAGAATTTGTGTGATATTGATGATTGACTTTAATTGTAGGCATTTGCGAGTGTTGTTATACGTATACGTACAATATTAAACTAGTGTGAATATAAAATTAAAAAAAAAAACATTTAAGATCGGGAATAGCGGGAACCAGATAAAAATAAGGTCTTTTTTTTTCCTACTTAAGGTGATAGCTTTGAGAGGCTATTTTAGCGTACAGTTACTGGTGGTAGGACCTCTTGTGAGTTCGCGCGGGTAGGTACCACCGCCCTGCCTATTTCTGCCATGAAGCAGTAATGCGTTTCGGTTTGAACTATAGTGAGATCTTAGAACTTATATCTCAAGGTGGGTGGCGCATTTACGTTGTAGATGTCCATAGGCTCCAGTAACCACTTAACACCAGGTGGGCTGTGAGATCGCCCACCCACCTAAGCATTAAAAAAAAACCTTAAGGCTCACCTAGTAGGTGAGCTCACGGGGCTCAAACCTGACGACGTTGCTAACACGAACCCTAGCAAGAGCCGTGCTTCGTAGAATCTACCGGATCGGAATAACTAAAACATATAAAACGGACCTATATAATAATGGTTCCATTTTCGACACATTTTTGAAGTGAAGATGTAACTTTTTATTGAATATACAAAAAACAAGGTGTGTCCCGTAATTTTAATGACATTAATAACATAGATGGGTGGGTGGTGGGTGAATAGAGGTGGGTGGCGCATTGTCAAGGTGGGTGGCGCATTTACGTTGTGGATGTCTATGGGCTTCAGTAACCACTTAACATCAGGTGGGCTGTGAGCTCGTCCACCCACCTAAGCAATAAAAAAATAAAAAAAACATAGATTTCAAAGAAGCACTTTTTAAGTTTTTAATCTTGCGTATTAATTATCACTAGAGGTCTATCACTAGATTACGGAACTGGAAATTATTTTTTCGCTGCAACTTACTTGTCTTCAAACTTCGTATTGTCATTTCAGATTGTACTAGACAAATATACGAGGCTAGTTAAATTGTTTGTTCCGACCCAATTTCAAAGTGCTAATCTAACGGTGAATATTTGCTTCCACCTCGGAAAGTTACATAAGTGCCGGGAAAACTTTCTTATGTATTAATGAAACTATATAGAGGAAAATTTCGGTAAACAATACTCAATGTGTGTTTGGTGAGTTATTTGTTTTATCATTAGCTACGTCCAAACTATTATGTTAAAGTAAATATTTGGGTTTTTGTTACAAGCATAATAGATTATATGACGATTTATATATTTATTACATTTTTTTACAGACTCATCATAATATTTTTTTTCTTTTAATTCCAAAGCTGATTTTCTGAAAAAATAAACTAGAATTAATTACAATTTACGTATTTTTAGCTTACATGGGTAAGTGCAGCCACTGCTACAATTTGGCCTATTTTGCCTAAATGCGTTGGCTTGGCTGGGTTTTATTACAAACAAACTAGTCCTTGGTCGCGAAAATGGTTTGGGCACACTTGTTAGGTGTTTTTGGTTTCCTGAACTCAAAAAGAAAAAATATAACGCTAAATAGGTGATCCTGTATGGGCTATCCATCTATAAACGTTGTTCATTTGTCCGTTACACAGATAATATATGAGATTTTTGTATGAATTTTTCGAGTACAAAGTTAAGCTCCCGTTGTAAGGGCAAAAAGAAAAAATAGAAATCGTGCCTTCTCAAGGGTCTTTTTTATTTTACACGTGTATATACAAATACAAAAAAAACTTGCTTAAAAATGTATTTAAGTATATTGTGAACACACATAATACAATAGATAATTATCGTTCTCGAGTGTTGTGTTAAAAATGTGTAAGAAAAACCTTCGTTATCAGCCGGAAAACTAAGGATCCGATAATTCGCAGCTATGCGATTTTAATAAATCTGTACAAAAATTCATTAAGCGGTAGGTACTTTCTTTCATTTGCCGCGATGAAAAAGACACCGTGGAGCACATATTCGTCCGCTGCACTGCCTGGGTGGAACAGCGAGTCGCCCTCGTCAGGTTGTGGGGAGGACCTTTCGCGGCTGACCATCGTGCATACGATGCTCCGCAGCGCCACGTCTAGGAGACGATACTCGACTTCTGGGATTTCACTATCTTGCAGAAGGACTTGACGGGACAAGATTTTTTTTTTATTGCCTAGATGAGTGGACGAGCTCACAGCCCACCTGGTGTTAAGTAGTTACTGGAGCCCATAGACATTCACAACGTAAATGCACCACCCACCTTGAGATACAAGTTCTAAGGTCTCAAGTATAGTTACAAAGGCTGCCCCACCCTTCAAACCGAAACTCATTACTGCTTCACGGCAGAAATAGGCAGGGTGGTGGTACTCACCCGTGCGGACTCACAAGAGGTCCTACCACCAGTAATAAAGGACTCACAAGAGAGCTCTTCCCTCTCCGCAAATATCCATCGCTGTCGAGCCGGGGTACGGCCCATCTGAAGGGGTATAAGCACTAGCGCGGTGCCCAGGTGTGACATTATGAAAAGAGTGACCGCCAGCCGGTCACACACCGTCTCACAGGATTCTATGCCGAGACGGCTGACGTTCCAGAGCCTTCGTTTCGCCTCGAAGGCTCCGTCAGTCGGGCATTCTTGGGGTGGCTGCGCATCTGGTTGTAGTGTTGACCGCGGTAGCCCCCTTAGATGCTCAGGTTCTGACCTCGGGGCGGATCGGAGGCTAGGATGAGAGTGTGGGAGACTCTTTTAGTGATTAGGGCCCTAAATTTAATCCATTAGGTCAGCAGCGTGCTCTCAGCATCTACGGACCATCTACATAACACGCGCGCCCCCTAGGGAACTTCGTAGGTTCGGCTCCCGGCCCAAAAATAGGCACTTTCTTTGATTTACAACTCAGTTTCCGTGAGGAGCGCTCTGATTTATTTAAGATGACCCAATCCTTTTTGTTTAGTACCATCGCACTAACCACCACACAAGTACAATCAGGCCTTACTTCCTGGAATCATTACATTCATACATCTTGAAAGAGACACAATTTTTGCAACATTTTATCATTCGGTTCTGGAATGAAGGGCTATTATATTCATTCTTTCAAACGGACTTTTAAAAGATTTCATAGCGCTCAACATCACCTCAGCTGTAGTATTCACGCTGTTAATGAACAGACGGCAAGCTCTCACAAAGGCAGCATTAGGTGAACTAAAATAGGCTACGTAATTAATCCTTAATAACCCACGTAAATAATTTTAACGCAAGGTTGATCACTTTGGTTGATAAAGGTTGATAAGATTCGTAGTGGGTCCTAAATAATCCACATAAAATATTTAGTATGATGTCTTATGAGTCCGCATGGGTAGATACTACCAGTCCACCTGTTTCTGCCTGAAAGCAGTAATACATTTCGGCTTAAAGAGTGGGGCAGTCGTTGTACTGTAAAAACTGAGACCGTACTCATGTCTATGCATGGGTAGCGGAATTTTTGTTGAGATGTCTATGGACTCTGGTAACTACTTAACATTGGGTGGGCCGTGAGCTCGTTCACCCATCTAAGCAATAAAAAAAGTACAAAATGATATTCAGACAGCTTCTCTGTCAGCATTCAATAGGCTCAGTACGAACCCTTTTCGAAGAATACACAAGAGATACAACACCTCATTTCGTTTCCTGAAGCAAATACGAACAAGTATTCAATAGATCTGTATTGAACGTTGTAAATTTGTTACGGACTTCAGTAAAACGAGATCCGAATTCTTTTACAAAAGGTTATATAGGTTTCCCTTTACAAGGTTCGCGCCTCAGTGATCGCTCCAAACCTTTCAGGCACATCTGTCTCTCAATTTCTTTTACTTGTTCAACTTTTGTCTGTTTGAACTAATGAACAAAAAGTCGTAAGATGTCTTCCGTGAAATATGCTTCTTATCTCAAGTACAATATGAGCACGTTTTTCATTTTTTTCTATTGTAGCTTTTAGCTTTTAATATTGAACACTTGAAACAATTGGAAAATACTATGAATATTTCACTGAAAAAAGAAATCATAGCTTAGATAATTGTTTATAGATTTTTTTCTTGTAAGTTAAATGAGAATACGCTTAACCTGATTGTGAGTAGCCGTTATCACTTGTGTACCACAGTAATACTAGAACATAAGGAGTTTAGAGATAATATGGTGGTATGGTTTATGGGTCCAAATTCTAATCACTTGTTGAACTGCGATTGAACTTTGGCAAAGAACTTACAAAATTTTAAACGGGAATTTATTTGGCGGAGTCCTTAATCTAGCAACGACTTTCCGCTACGTGGCTAAAATCTTAGTGGCTAGTAATAAATAGTGATAAATCAAAGTTCAATCCAATAAATAGTTACTTTTTTGTTCACAGAACCCGAGACAGAAGTATTAGGTGGACCAGATATATTTATTTACGCTGGTTCCACTATAAACCTCACTTGCATTGTTCGGCACACTCCAGAACCTCCAAGTACAATTAACTGGTCACATCGAGGGAAGGTAAGGCACTAGTAAGGATATCGTATTGCTAGGTATAGTTTCGATTATTTCATAAAGTGCAACCTAGATTTCAAAACAGACTATTTATTTGAAAAATGTTAATAGCAGTAACAATACGTAACTACGTATGTACTATTATTAATCAAACAATTTTAAAATATACTACAATATCAATAGTTCAAAAATGATTAAGGCGGTAAAAACATGTTAATTTTTATGTGCTACGCAAAGAAAGGCCATAGATATTTTAATTTACTTATAGTTTTGAGCAAAATTTTATTACAGACAATTGGGCTAAGTGTAAGCCTACACGGATAGGTATCAGCATCCTACTTATTTTTGTCACGAAGCAGATATAGATTTCGCTTTGTAGGGTCGCACAGCCTTTAAATTATACAATTAAGACTTTAGCTTGTGGCTTAATAATGGTGACGATAGTTAAATTGTGATGCCCGTGCACCGATAACCATTTAACACAAGATGTGCCGAAAGCTCTTTCACTTATCAATTCAATTTTTATTCGTTAAAAACATGACCGAAGAAGACCCCGTGCAGTTTATATTCTGAGAATTGTAAAATTGCATTTAGAAAGCCATTGAAAGTTTTAAGATATTTCAACTTTCAAAAATTTTAATTATGAAATTGCAACATGACAAATTTGAAATGATAATTACTGGAAATAATCAAAAGTTGATTGAGAATGTTAATTACTGGAATGTGATAACTGAAAATTCATATTCAGTTTTGATTTAATTGGAATTGGACGATTCGGTTAGAATTATTTATATTTCAAAAACATTATTGTGTTATTATGCACATGAATATNGTTGATTGAGAATGTTAATTACTGGAATGTGATAACTGAAAATTCATATTCAGTTTTGATTTAATTGGAATTGGACGATTCGGTTAGAATTATTTATATTTCAAAAACATTATTGTGTTATTATGCACATGAATATTTTCGTATTGAATTGATATTTATTCCAATTACAATAGATTTATATATTATTATATTTATCTATATATTATATATTATATCTATTTCTCCCTTCAATCTCAATCTTTAGGGGATATTTAAGTGAAAAGATAATCGACAGTGGGAGTTACTCCAAAAGTCCTCTATACCATCAGCAAACTTTTGTTTACCCCAAAACATATTTTTTTTTTTATTATAGACTGAATCGTGAATGAAAAATACTGTGATATTATACATAAATGTGTTTTGGTTCGTCTATAAGTAAAAGGTGCAAGTTATTATAAAAATGATCATAAAAAGCTCTATTACAAAGGCTTTTCCCACTTGTTTAATATTAAAAAAATTAATTAGTGATAAACATTTAGCGTAAGTTTGAATGAAATCGTAATAAAAATTGTAATTAAGTAAGACGCTGTTAAGATATTGTGAACATTATGAAGTTAGAAACGTAGGCTCTTTTGGAGATTTATTGTCAAATAAATTAAGTTAAACAACGGTAGAGAAACTTTCATTTAGTGTTTTCACTTTTATTAACAATACATTTGGTGCTTTAAGTAAATAAACTTTGAGTAAGTTAAGTGTTTGTTGAATTGTGTTATTTTTGTAAAGGTTATTCACTCGATGGAAAATCTTTCCTTAATGTAAGGAAGATAGCAACGGATTTCCAATTTCACATTTCTTTGCCCTAAATCGATAGGTGAGCTCACTTAATGTCTTATCGCAGCGTCACAATTCGAATACTTCCTCCAACCTTGACAAATGAGTTCAAAGACTCAATTGTGTTATATAAGGCTCTTTCTTTAGCTTCTTTTCCTTTTATCCGAAGCGTATGAATGCTTCGCGGCATAATAAATAGACTGGATGGTGGTACCTATTGGCGCCGGCAAATAGTCCGCCCTATCTTTAGGTAATAGGCAAATAAAAAAAAACACGTGTTGCACCTGGGGACTGGCGCGGTAAAGCTATTGCATAGGATTTTTTATCAATTTATGCAATTATAATTAGACAATAATAATTTAATATTAAAACAATAATAAAATAAGACCACGCGAGAGAGAGATAGGCAATCTTTTCATGATGCGCCTGCAGTGCGACGTCACGCCGCGCGTTTATTCACAAACACTACACAAGCGCAATGCGTGAATGTGTTAAACGCGAGCTACATGGTAGGCGGAGTGGAGGGTGTTAGGTTTTATTTACGTCACGGAATTTCTTGATTCGGTCGTCGCGCTCAAAGCCCACGACAAAACTATGCAATAGCTTAGAAATAAATCTATCTAATGGATTTGAAGATATATATAATTATATATAATTGTATATGTAAGCCGAATGATGTCTCATCTGTTAGGCCACGACGACTTAATACGCTGCAATTTTCTCACGATTCGTTCAAATCATAGGACAAACTGAAAACCCACTAACTCTGTAGCTGTTTACTTATACTAGATGATGACCGAGCTGTGCTGGTTTTTTTTTTGATAACGCTATCTTGTTGTGTCTTTAAAGCGGTTAGTTGCCCTCAATTAAGAAAAATAGTATTATTATTCGCCAATATTGAAAACACGAATAAAACAACACTTTCTGAAAATAAATCGTAGCTAGATCGATTTATCGCCCCCGAAATCCCTTGTATACTATATTTTATGANTTAGGTTTTGTCAATTTGACCATTTATTCCACGTTCCTTGTTACTAACAGACGATAAACTTCGACTCGACCCGCGGAGGGATATCGTTGGTGACCGAGAAAGGTGTTCATAGTAGCAGCCGACTATTAGTACAAGCTGCCCGCACGACCGACGCAGGCGCGTATCAATGCGCACCAGACAACGCACAGTCAGCTACTGCAAGAGTTCATGTGCTTACGGGTAAGACAACTGTACTTTTTAATACGCTTTTATTAGCTTCAGAGGTTAGTATGTTAGTATGTAGCGGAATCTTTCAACATGATTTTGATTAACTCGAAATTTGGTATACTTATTATGGACTGATGACAATTCAATACAAAAAAAAAATTATAAAAAATAATTAAAAAATTGAAATTCCGCTAAAAAATGAAAAATAAATAATAGTTAAAAAAAACAAGAAAAATTTAATTGTAAAAAAAGCGTGGGGTGCATGGTATCAGTAGTTATAAATATGTTATGAACAGATATGAGTAGAAGGGTTATTTTGATAATCCTGAAAAGCACCCCACGCATTTTTTACAATAAAATCAATTTTTTACACTATTTTTAAATCAAATTTATTAAAATTTATTTTCAATTTTTTTGTTGGATTTTCAATAAAAGCGTATTTTGTTAGTTTTTTAAACTATTATTTAGTACACTATTTATGATAAAATTTACTTTGAAGGCAGATGTAATTAGATTAAGGTCATCACTTTTATCAAGCCCCTGTATTTATCGTAATCATATCTACGACTAACTCAGTGGCACAGTAGCCCCCTCTACTAGGGTCGTGTTTCAATTCCTAATTCGGGCAAACATTCGTGTGATGAACAAGTTTGTGTTTGCTCTTTTTCTAAATGTTTAATTTTTTTTATTTGTTGGTTAGACCGTTGGACGAGCTCACGGCCCACCAAGTGTTAAGTGGTTACCGGAGCCCATAGACATCTACAGCGTAAATGCGCCACCCACCTTGAGATATAAAGTTCTAACGTCGCAGTATAGTTACAACGGCTGCCCCACCCTTCAAACCGAAACGCTGCTTCACGGCAGAAATAAGCATTATTACACGGTAGAAATAAATAGTGATTATTATTTACACATTTCCCAGCACCACAACAGATTTCGAATCTGATCTGAAATATGTACAAAATAAAATTGTTTATTTGTTACACAACTCAACTGTTGATTTAATAACTGTAACAATTTTGAGACATAAGTTGTAAGGTCTCAATATATATACCTGACTATATAAACGTTTATAAGTATGTATTTCGGTCTCTGAATTCCTTAGTACAGAGTATCCCAGTTTGTAGCCGGATTATTATCGAATGGTACTTACTACACACATATGAATTCTGCACCTCCACTAAAAACAAACAGTAAACAATTTGAAACTTCTCTTGGTACTTGTTTTAGCAAACATTTAACTTTTGCTTCAAACAACGGATCCGTTTCCAAATAAACCTCGGAACGAAGTCCTAAATTACGCTTTGCTATCAAACCGCGATGTGGCTTCAACAACGTCACGTGTACTTTCGGACGTGTTTATAGATACCGGAACACATGAACGGCTTTGTTTGATGCGAATTAATTTCTTTTTGTTCTTATTTATTGGAACGAAGTTCCTTACGGCAGGCTTGGAGGAGATAGGGATTTTTCTACGCGACCGAAGTGAAAAAAATGTGATAGTAAAACCGTAAGAAAAAGTCCGTGGAATAAAACCGTTAAATGAGACGCGCGCAGGCGCGACAGTCGTATACACAAGCGAGTAGTGTATAATACCTTTCTCTTTCTCCTTCTTTCTTTTCTTTCTTTCTTCTTCTTCTTTCTTACCTGATGTCCCACGACACTACATCTTTTTTATTGTTAAGATGGGTGGACGATATCACGGCCCCCGGTGTTAAGTGGTAACCGGAGAGTATAGATAGAGTGGAGTGGAGAGTATAGATGAAGTCGCCGGGGCCTAAACGATAAGACGTCCGGTGCATTCGTATCTAGCGATACAACGGTGTTCGACTCTCGCAGGCGGGTATCAATTTTTCTAATGAAATATGTACCTACATAACAAAATGTTCATAATTGACTTCTACGGTCAAAACCGAAAAATTATAATTTGCGTAGTTAGTGGTGGTAGGACCTCTTGTGATTCTGCGCGGGTCGGTCGGCACCACCACCCTGCCTATTTCTGCCGTGAAGCAGTAATGCGTTTCGGTTTGAAGGGTGGGGCAGCCGCTGTAACTATACTTGAGACCTTAGAACTTATATCTCAAGCACCCACCTTGAGATATAAGTTCACGTCGTAGATGTCTATGGGCTCCAGTAACCACTTAACACTAGGCTGTGAGCTGGTCCGCCCATCTAAGCAATAAATAAAATAGCTAGTGTAAGAATAGCTACACTTTCAATAGAACAGCATATTGTATTAATATCAGATATGAACGTAAACCTAAGCAACGAATGAGACAAAATAGGCAATCAACAAATTCAATTAACAATTAGGACGATATTGAAAATTCATTGAACGTTTCACACAAAATAATTCAGATTTGGAACCAATAAATGAAGCTGTTATCCTTAACTGATATTACTATAACAGTTTCAGAATAGTTTGCTAATAAAACGTATTATTAGTGAACTAATTCAAACTTGTATTATGTTTATTGGTCTTGTATAAATGGAAATAAATTAACTTTGTATTGTTTGTAGGGTAAGCCACACGATCTCGTAACAAAATTGTTTCACTATAGCTAGTTATTAAATCGTGTAACGAATAATCAATTTTATTTTGTACAATTTTCTGCTGGTTTTTCTGGAAAATGTGTAAATAATAATCACTATTTATTTCTGCCGTGTTATAATTCTGCTGTGAAGCAATCATGCTTTTCATTTTGAAGGGTGGGATGGCCGTAACTACCTGAGACCTTAGAACTTATATCTCAAGGTGGGTGGCGCATTTACGTTGTAGATGTCTATGGGCTTCAGTAACCGCTTAACATCAGGTGGGCTGTGAGCTCGTCCACCCATCTAAGCAATAAAAAAAATCACTAGTTTGATGTTAAGCTTATAAATAAGTCGAGCACGTCCTTATATCATGAATAACATATTTTTGCGGAGGTAACATGTGTCATCCAGAAATTATGTTAAATTATGTGGGCTAGACGTACGTCGGGTCAAGCCTAGGGACATTATTGGAATCACAATGAACTGAAGTCTTTTCATATGGTGGGTTCATTTTGAAGAAAATTACGTGATGGTTTTTTTCACATTTTCGTGACAGCACAGTTGATTGGCAGCTCAATATTAGACGCACAATGGCTCTAAACTAGGATTTTCTTTTAAATGGGTACCAATAATTTCAACCTACACATACTTTAACAAGGATGCTTAATTTTTCCTCTTAGACTAGTGAGTTACACACGCATTGTTTTTTTTTCTTCTTTTGTTACCTATTCGCTATTAGTCTATGGGGCTGTTCTAACTATGCCCAGGTGGGTAGTTGAGCTCACGGATTCAACCTGAGATAGTTTGCTAACACTAGCCCCAGCAAGAGCAGTGCTTCGCAGAATCTTCTTTAAGTATCAGTTTTTTAGTACCACGGCCGCCTCATCTTTCAAACCAGCATTCCAGCGCAATTTTGCTTCGCGACAGAAGAGTGGCACCTATCTATACGAGCTCACTCACAAGATATATCTATACATACTTAAATATATTATATACAACATGTAACATATTTAACGCACACCCTCAAACACCCCAATTAGACTTTAATAGTATAAACGCTATGCATACACCAAATATTATTTATATGTGCGTTAACATTGATTATTTGTGAAATTAGTTATTCCCATTTCGTGGAAATAAAATGGTCACCGATTCACACTCCGCTGCGCACGCACACACAGACACCTACTCGCCGCGCCCGGCCCCTTGTTCAATGCACTTTAATGACCGTTTTCGTATTTGTTGTTTTATTTTAGATAATACTGCAATGTCACTTTTCACTTTATCAAAGGCGGTTATTATCTTATTCTTTAGTTCTTCGGCACTTATTGTCTTTGTGTNAGGGGGTCGCGGGTTCGAATCCCGCCAAGGGAAGATATTTGTATGATAAATATAAATGTCTTTTCCAGGGTTATGAATGTATATTAAATATATGTATGTGTATAATAAAAATCTTACATTTATTTCCGTTATCTGGTACCTGTAACACAAGTTCTTTACGAACTTATCACGGGACCAGTTAACGTGGCGTGATTGTTAGTAAATATTTATTATTAATTATTATTATTATACCTTCAACAACTTGAGATCAACCTTATGATTTGCAAAGGTATTGACATTGTTATATTCATTCTAGTCTAAGTTATTAGGTTAAAATAATTGTTTTTTTTATAGCCTGAGAAGCTGACTCACTTTTTTAAAATCTGTTTTTCTTTGTTAGGAGAAAGTCCGGCGGCGATGCAGGGCAGTGCTCACTGGGCGGACAGATTCCGGCTACCGACACTCGTCTTCTTTGCAACCATCGTATACCTAACAATATTGATACCCTGAAACGATTTAGAATTAAAATTGACTATGTGCGTGTCAAGCAATTTCCTAATTTACGAACAGAATTAAAAATAAGACGAATTTTGGAATGTGCTTTATGCAATAGAAATTTGTTGTGCGTTTATAAAAGTTTTTTTTATTGCCCTACATTCGGTCAAACGAGCTCACGGGTCTCCTGGCGTGGTTACAAGAGCCAAGAACATTACAACTTAATTGCCCATTCTGAGATACGAGGTTGAAGTCACAACTTTTTTTTTTATAACAACCTCTTCCTTCCTTTCAAATTAGAAAACAACGATCTATAATTTTTTTAATGTACGTGCGAAAAAATTTAATTTTTAAGAAATTTGTTGATATTGCGTTGAATTAGTAATCGTGTTGTGTTTCAAAAATTTATGTAAATAAATCGATTTAATTAGATGTGTGACATCGAGACTGTTATTTGTTAATATGTTTAGTTATTTAAAAACTAGTAGCCTAGACTGTTGTAAATTAATTATTACCCTTAATATGCAAAATCAAATTCACGATGAATAAGCGCTATTATTTATCAGGATCTTTACTTTCGTGTTTGAATACGTTCCCGATATTTCGGCGCTGTTGCAAGTGCCATTATCTTTGGTAAATAGGTAAATAATAGTGTTTATAACATAAATAGGTGCGTAAGTTTAAAAACAATTAGTAACGATAAATAAAAAAAAACTTCTCTAAAATCTAGTGTTATCTCCATTTAATTTTGATAAAACTGTTTCCTCTTTGTGAAGTTGCTGTAATGATTGTAAATAGTAGCATAAGCAGAGCGAGTTAGGTTTGCGTCTCACAAAGCCTGGGCAAAACCAGTGCCAACGTCGCATAGAGATATCCTTATATCAGGGTAAGTTTGTAAGTTAAGTTAAATTAATGTGAATTCAATCATTCCGTGTGTAATTAACAGTTGTAGTAGAATATTATAGACGTATTATTGACTTTAAAATAAAACGTTGGAATAAATTAAACGAGATTTTTATAATTGCGTTTTGTTGTGATTTTCATTGTTTTTTGTACTTTCGATTGTATCGTGAAGCCGCTACCTTTATTTCCGGACAGGGAGCCGAACCACATATGAGGCGTCCACGCCTAGATAGTACACGGGGTATGTGAGACTTGACGATCTGTAGATATTAGTAGCAGATCGTAGACCCAAGGTTGTTTTTAGAGACCTACCACCAAACGTCTCCCGTTGCACCCGACGTCCGAGGTCAGAATCCGGGCAGGGTATGGAGGCTCCCATGGTCAATATGACAACCAGACTCGCGGCGCCACCCCAAGGTCGTTCAACCGACGGCTCGTCCAGGCGATCGTCAACGACCAATGACACAAGCTCCCGCGGCACGGTGGCCCGTCAGGCCATACCCGGATACACCACTGGGTCAGAATCAGGCTGAATCAGGTTGCTCTTCCACAGTAGCGATAATGAAGTTCCACGACAGTGACGACGGCAACGCAGATCGTAGTGAAGCTACAACCTACCTTAAGACATAAGGTCAAAGTCTGGGTTGTATTATTCAATACCTAGCCAGCCTTCAAACCTAAGCAAATAAGTTACTTTATGACGGGAGTCGTCAGTGACGGGATCTTTGACTGTTCAGGAAATTTTCTGTTATTATTATTATTATTTTTATTGCTTAGATGTGTGGACGAGCTCACAGCCCACCTGGTGTTAAGTGGTTACTGGAGCCCATAGACACCTACAACGTGAATGCCACCATCCACCCTAAGAATTGAGTTCTATGGTCTCGGTATAGTTACAAAGTCTGCCCCACCCTTCAAACCTAAACGCATTACTGCTTCACGGCAGAAATAGTCAGGGTGGTGGTACCTACCCGCGCGAACTCACAAGAGGTCCTACCACCAGTAAATGTTAATTTTCGTATATTAATTTTGAGTAGTGAAGACGGGCAAACGAGATTTAGCTTGAGATTTCATTAAAAGATTGTATAAGATTAATACAATCGACAAATTTGAAGATTACTTGACAGCTAACATATAATAATAATAATAACACTTTATTTAACACCATACGTACAGAGTGAGCCAATAAAACAAATAATAGTCGGTGACATAAATTGGCGGCCTTATCGCTGAAAGCGATCTCTTCCAGGCAACCTTGCAGGGAGAGGAATAAGTGGACTGGATAAGTGGACTGGATAATATTATTATCATCGAGGTCCTGTGATAATCAAAGGCGTCGTGATTTCATTTTATTACAAGCTATTGCTTCTTCAATGCTAACGTCGTTCATAATTCAAGGTAAGTAAATATTGAAAAAATAATACTGTCCCTCTCTACTCAGGAAATAGCTACAAGGCTACATCGCAAATGGCACTAAGCTTTTAGCCTAGTAATGTCGTATGTCACAGATCCTGTTTTATGCCTTATGTGAATAAAATAGATCGGCACCTAAGTAGAACATAAATTCTTCTCGCTCAAGTAGTAAACATTATCTAGTGATGTTTTAGCTTAAATACCACTCAATACCGTTTTATTTGGACCATTGCCGAAACGTAAAACTTTATAGGAAAAATAACATTTATTTAATCACATAAGATAAATGTGTGTTGGTTTTGTCAATCTGCCATGTTCTGCGAGTATGTTCGCTAACATTAAAGAGGCAGCGAAGCATGTATTTCCATACAAAGACACTTCCTTAAAATGTTTTTGTATGGGTTATTTCTCAACATTCTTCTTTTGCGAGCATGTCAAATACTCGTTTGGGATTAGTCTTTTGTCGAAATTTTTTTTGTGGCAAGAAAAACAACGTTTGTTTCAATTTTATATAATTTTTATGGAGCTATCCATGAGTTTGCCGTTTTCACAATTAGCCGTTTTTTCTTTATGGTATTCCTTCCGTTTATGAGCCCACATCGGTGGGTACCACCACCTTATCTATTACTGCTCTGATGCGATTTAATGGTGGGTCAGCACTGTAAAAAACTAACTAGAGCTAAGTGCTCAAGTTTATTAGTGAGTAAGCTCATTTAAAGTTATTGATGTCTATGGTCTCCGGTGACCACTTAGCAGCAGGTTTTTTTAAACAGCTCAATCAATGGTCCTCTGGGCTTTGCTCTTCATTTATTCCAGATCATCGGTCATATTTATTTAATTTCTGATAATGTGCCCGAAATCATTAAAAATCCGAAGTCATGTGGTTGTGTATTACGATGAGGCTTAGCTTTAGGAGTATGACACACTGGTTTGTATTACTGTACTATAACTTTCTCTACTATCATATCTCAAAGAAATCTTTTTGCCATTCCCAGGTTCACAAAGATCTCGGATACAGCGCCGTAGCGATCGCTAAATTAGTATCAGCTTGGTTTTCGATTTGTAAATGGAGAATCGGACTGGCCTACCAACACTTTCCGTTTATTTTAGAATAAAAAAAATTCACTGCTTATTTTCAATTACGTAAGTATTTTTCTAGTAAAAGCTTAGCCTAGCTTATTACTGCCACGAAGCAGCCACGCGCTCCGAATAGAGGAAGGATCCTAAAGCATTGTGGTTAAGTATTTTTTTCGGTTTTCGCGATTAGTACACACAATAATTAAAATGCCCACTGAGCTACTCGGATCTTCTCAGTGAGTCGCGATTTCGATCCGGTGGTAGATTCTGCAAAGCACTGTTCTTACTGGGGCTAGTGTTAGCAAATTCTCTCAGGTTGAGCCCGTGAGCTCACCTACTCGTCCGCGCATAACTGTAATAGCCTCTTAGGCTACCAGCGAAAAGGTAGGGGGAAAAACACAATGTTTTTTTTTGTCATTTTCTATTATTGCGATAGGCGGTAACCGCTCACCATCAGCTGAGCCATAAGCTTGTCTGCCTGCTGGGCCCATAAAAAAAAAAACCAATGGTTCGAAAATTTTGTCGTGTTTTAGTCTGCATTTCGTATCGTGTATTAGTTTTCGTGGTTAGGGACGACTATAATTTGATACAAAACAAAGGAGTAGCCATTGGGTCACTAAATAAATTCAACGAATGTATAAAAATACATTACTTCTCAACATAATGTACTATAATTTGCAGGCAAATGACTCTTAACATAACAATGTCTCACCACCCTTAGTATACCACCCCGCCGCCGTGTACCTGCCTTCGATACTCATTTGTTTTATATCGATAATGGCGTTGCGCCCGCGCAACATGCTCACCGCCCTAGTCACGCTATGTTTTATGACCCAAACTGCACGGACAAAATAATTCTACAATAGTACTAAAACTTAAAGAACACTTTAATTAAAAATGCGAGGTTTGTTTCCGCAAAAGTAATTTTAATCATTGTTAATTAGCTTAATCTCAGTACTCAATAAACTTAGTACAACGGGTAACAATGAAATGATTGAATCTCTTTTCTTCGACGAGACAAGCCAAAGTTGGTGTATTGTGAGAGTTAGCTCTAATAACCTTGCTTATGAATTAAATTTGATTAGTGTTTAATTTGTAACTATAATGAAGTTAAGCACGAACCGAAACTAAAACAATTTGTGGCTATCTAAGTTACATATAGTATATTACGTAAGGATATACGGTGATAAGGTTCAATTAATTTAAGCCACGGAACAAGCACATATTTGTGTTGTTAATAACAATGCGTTGAAGATCAGTACTAGTATTTTCATAAGAGTGATTTAGTTTTCTTTAAATATTATCTTCGTTGGTAATTCTTCAGCACGACTATTAGTATCAGTTGTTAAATAAAGAAGAAATAAAGTAGAAGAATAAAAAGAATCTTTTAATAAAATAAAAAAATTATGCATGAAATTTACTATAATTATTATTATCAAGTGAGATTTTCTTAATTTGTGATCTATTCTACAATATAATTATGAAGATATAAATGATATTGAAGTACACTGAGGAACATTTTGAATACAGGTACAAATTTAAATTTGATATCTAAAAATTTTAACTTCCTTTTATTGGATCCTTTTAGTAGTCGATTTCAGTCAATCTAGTTCTCATACCATTAATGCTAAGCTAAAGCTATTTGGAAATACTGAATGCTAACAGCTATTCTTACGATATTCGCAATGGTAATGCTAATCGCAAAATGAGTTACTGGTAGGCTGCCAAGCCTGAACACTCACAAACACGTCTGTCTACGCACAGTATATTTGTCTATTTTATGTCTCGATGAAGAGTTTCCGCTATTTTTAGTACTTTGCACGCAATCGCGAAAATGTCTCGCAATATATATGCAATATATGCCGGTAATAATTCCACTAGCAAAGTCAAATAAAAACGCTATTTATTGAATCATTGGTATTAATAACAACGTTTCTACAATTTATTTCCTAAACGAAGTGATTGGAACAATAAAGTCATGTTTTCTAAAATAAATCAGTAACGATTAAAACTACAACATTATAATTTAATAACGCATTTACTTATATTTCCCAATATTTGAATAACAAGACCAAGAATAACAAGAAAATAAATATGTTAATAAAGTTTACAAATTTAATGGATTACGATTTAGAACAAAAGCCAATTGAAAACTTTTGATAGCTGTGCTTAAATAAAGGTTTAAATATTTAAAAACGTTTTTTTTATGGAAGCAATATTTCTTCGCTGCGTTCTATCGTTATTAACACCTTAAAATGGTCAAAACATCAAGATCGTTGTCTCGGAATATTTATTTCGATGACTAAGGAAATTATACATTCTCCGCCCACTTACTGGCCCAAGGCTTTAATCGAAGATTTATGAGTTGGAAAAGACATTTAGCACCCCATCCGCACCCTTTCCTTTGAGAGGAAATTTGGTAGGCATTACACTCTAGCGATAGCTAACGTTGATATTTTATCGTGCACGGAGAAATTTGAGTGAAAATTAAATTACGCTCTCACTAACCAGTATCTTGTCTTTTCTCTTATAAAAATACATAGAATAGCTAAATTTCATCTAATCCTTTGTACGAAAGATTCTGATGCTCATACGCTTCACGAATCGAAAG